CGGGAGCCCCTCGCCAGGCAGCCCCCAGGCGTGTGGCCAACACTTGTCCTGCTGCCCCGTCCGTCCAGTACAGGTTCCTGCCCACCCAGTCCACAGCGATGCAGTCCGATCTCACACCTGCAGAGCCCCAGACCTCAGCGCACCCTGGCAGGATGCTCCCAGGTCCTTGCCACCCCCGTAGCTTCTCCCAGCTTTGCTCCTGTCTGCATCCTTCCACTCAGAGCCTGGAACCTGGAGGCTGCTTGCACACGGAGATTCCAGCCCTGCTCCCCTCGCCTCCTTGAAGCCCACCTTTCACCAGCGTGCCCTTCTTGCCCGAGTCGAGGCCCTGCCAGCGGATGCTCTCCGTGCCCAGGTCCAGCCAGAAAATCTTCCTTTCCACCGGGTCATAGTCGAGGGAGAAGATGACGCGCTCCTTGTCGGTGGCCAGCAGCACCTCCTCGTGCCCGCTCCGCAGCCCGTAGGACAGCACCTCGGACTGCACGGCCACCAGCAATGTGGGCTCCGGTCCTGCGGCAACACAGACCTCCCTTGCTCAGGTCCCACTCCCTGCCAGCAGCCTCACCGTCCCTGCGCGCAGGCACAGGGAGCACTGCCGCCTGGTGGGACCTGATCCTACCACACAACTGAGTGGGGGCAGATCTTGCCACTGGCTGCGGGCTGGCAAGTGGCAACTCCCTGCAGAGCATGGCCCAGGAGGCCACAAGGCAGAGGAGCAGGGCCGTTTGGTGGGCTGCAGAGCTCCCCATGGGCAGCAGGTACCTGCCAGATGTCCCCTGAAGTGCCAGGACCACCCGTCCTGCCCTGCACAGACAGGTCTGGGCTCACCGGTGAGTTTGCAGCCACGGCCATCAGGCTCCAGCAGGTAGCCGGGGAGGCAGGCACAGCTGTAGCTGCCTGGGGCGTTGAGGCAGGTCTGGCTGCAGGGCCCCTCCTTCTGTTCCTTGCATTCATCCACGTCCATGCAGGACACGCCATCCCCCGCCAGCCGATAGCCCGGGCTGCACTGGCACCTCTGTGGGGAGAGGGGCTCTCAGTGTGTGCCCCATGGGGCATAATGCTCCCCCATCCCACAGCTAGCCATGGCTCCTGGCACTCACCGGGCCCTGGGGAGAGTGGTAGCAGAGCTGGGAGCAGAGCAGCTGGCAGGGCACCGAGCAGCTTCCCCCCTCGTCCGAGCCATCCGCGCAGTCCCGATGACCGTTGCACACCAAGGATAAGTTCAAGCAGGTCCCCAGCCCACACGGATACTCGTGGCTCTGGCAGGGAGCAGGCTGGCCTGCAGGGGACACAGGGCTGGAAGGAGCTCTGGAAACTCATCCATCTTCTTCTAGCGCTGGGCTTGCTTCCTCTCACACGTGCAAGTGACGGCAAAGCCCAGCCTGGCTCCAGGCTCCTCAAGCACCAGGTGGCAGCAGCCTCATGAGGCCAATGGGTCTGGAGCCACCATGGATGCCGAGAACCTCCCCAGGTAGGAGATGACGCAAAGGGGATGTGTGGGACGGTGCTCACAGCCATCCTCGTCGCTGCCGTCCGCACAGTCGCCCTCTCCATCGCAGCGCCAGGCATTGGGGATGCACCAGTGGCCACTGCAGCAGCCCCACTGCTGCTCCCTGCACGGTCCTTCCTCGCCAGGGCAGCCCTGCAAGAGTGTGGGTTGAGCAGTGCCCTATGGGGATGGAGGGGGCTGCAGGAGGCACCCGCCAGCCTCATGCACCTCCTCATCGGTGCCGTCCCTGCAGTCAGGGTCCCCGTCGCAGCGCCAGGCCTCCGGCACGCACTCGCCGCTGCGAGGACACGGCAGCTCCCCTGGGCGGCA